CCCCCCCCCCCCCCCCCCCCAAAAAAAAAAAACAAGAAAAAAAAATGGAAAACCTGAAATTTGTTAATGGTTGTCCCCATGAAACTTGTCATCATAAACCACCTTACCTCAAATAATCTAACATTGCCCATTTAAGCTTGTTATTTTTTCTTGTTTCTCTGGACTCTGGAGTAAAAACCAGATGTGGACAAAGTAGGAAGGAATTATCCTATATGGTAACCACTTATATTTTTGCTGCAAGATCAGTGATCTTTTCACATTAGCCATGCCTGTTTATCACGTAGTTGTTAATAACGAAATCAGTAATATCACCCTTCTCGTCATCTACTTGCTCTTCTCTCACTCTCACAATTCTTTTCTAGTATTATGTTCCTTCCACAAGAGTACAAGACCCACCTTTGTGGGAACCATAAATCATTTGCTTAAGATTAGCTGGGCCTGAAAGGGATTATTTTCTTTTTTTCAACTTATCTTGATTCTGTCTCCTACATTACCCACCACCTTTATTCAAATGGTATCAAAGGGACATTGACATACTAACAAATAACCTGTTTTATATTGAGAAAGAACAACACAATTGAGGATTTTAGTGCAAGATGAATTTTTACATTTTTTGGTTACCATTGTTGGGGAAGATGAAAATCGTTTGGGACCTTTTACATGGGACATGTGAGGTAAATGTGTTGCAAAATCTATCATTGAGAATAAGGGGGTTATGTGTAACAAAATGAAGTTTATATGCGGTCTACTGAACATAGAAATGCCCCAAACTGTAGTGGTAATCTGTACCCTTATAAGTTTGACTTGCTTTTATCTGTATGGTGTGAACACTTATGTGGAGAGCATCTAAAATGTATTTATATGTCCATAATTTCTGGTGTGGAAGATTGATGAATGGTGCTTGCTTATTGATCTGTATTTCTGATACATGCCAGGTATCGTGGTCATGTTGATGTTTCTGTGACTTCTGCTGCTTTTGTTTTGGCCACGGCATTACTCTTACAAAGAGGAAGCCCCCGTTTTGCACAGCTAAGTAGTGCCATATTTGGGTTATTTTATTGCGGATATCTTCCCTCATTCTGGGTTAAACTTCGATGTGGTTTAGCAGCTCCAGCCTTGAACACAAGTAATTGACTTTTTTTCAAATTTTGTTCTGCTAATTGTGGGGCTGGGAAGTGTCAGATCTATTTCTTCATAATTAACAAAAAAAATTGCTGAAGTCACTGGTTCTAGACATCATTGCTGATTATATCTCTTTGTAGTAGTAGCAGTAGACTAGTTGTAGTTGTAGACATTAACATTAGTTTTACTGTATTTTTCCGGAATTGATTATTAATATAGATTCTATTTGTAGCATTTTCAGTTACTTTTTTGCCATACAAGATTCTGATTGTTATAACTCAAATGCTGAAAAAAAATACCCAGGAAAGTTGTTTCTTGAGAATGTTATTTTTCAAATAATAAACCAAATATAAGAAACTAACATTCTTAATTTCAGATTCCTTGGAAACTAAAAACTTCCTATGTGTAAAACATCCTCTAATTGTATTTGTAATTTATATGTATGATTCCAACCAATATGTGTGAATCTGAATGCAATCTTGCTTCATTGTAGTTGTTCAGTTCAAATTTAAATACTTTATTTGAAATGTGTTCTTGCCATAGCTGGAAAGTAAATTAAACTTCAATTAGTATAATACTATGAACTAAAGGGACCATGGAAGCAAGTCTGGAACTTTTTCCTCCTTGTATATGATTAAGTACCTGGGTTTCTCTAGTCTAGAAACCCGTTTGGTTATATATTCTAGTTATTTTGCTTTCATGTGCATTGCTGTGATGTGAGGTGCTTTCAAATTTGACTAGCTGTAATAGCAGATATGATTTCAACAATGAATCAAATGCTTGATTGACATTATTCAGGAAGCTTATATATATTTACATTTTTCTGTATGTTATTTTTCAGTGGTTGCCATTGACGTCTGTTCCTTTAGTTAAAATTTATTAATGAAAGATAACTTCTGCATATAGTATTCTTTATTAGCATAATTTTGTATTCCCTATTTTCTATGTGGCTTGGATTAGGACCTGTGGCTGTGGGTCCTTAATAGATTATTATTTTGCAGGAATAGGAGCAACATGGCCTATACTTCTTGGTGGCCAAGCTCATTGGACAGTTGGTCTTGTGGCAACTTTTATTACCATAAGCAGCATAATTGCAGCTGATACATTTGCATTTCTTGGTGGCAAGGTATACTGGCTTACTGGTTTGCAACTTAGCTATTTTCTCCTCAAATTTGTCACTTGTTTAAAGATTATTTATATTTGGCTACTGCCCCTTCCTGTCATTTCTTTGAGCCTGCCTCTGGTTCTTAAGATTTTTACTTAATGAAGTTTCTTTGATATTAGTGGTGTTCAAAGTTTCTTTTGATGTTAGTATAAAATAAATTGCTTTTTGGTGAGATATCTCGGTCATAAAGTCTCACATCTCTCAACTATCAGCCAGAGCATGTCAAACTATGCATTGATTTTATCCTGTTGGAAAACAAAATATTTAATACTATGGAATATGGATATACATATGCTAAAGTCTGTTTACTATCTTGGTTAAAAGTCTAAATAGCTGATTATCATCAATGTTCTGCGATAAAATAATTATTGCCTATTTATTGGTGAGAAATCAATTTGTAATGTGTCTCCACATAATCTATGTCAAATTCATTATAATATATTGATGCTGATTAGACTTCCACCTTTTAGTGCTCTTGTGTTCAATGGTTTGAAGAGTGGCATGTACTGCAGTAAGCAGTTTTTTGAAGGATAGTCTTTTGATTAAAAAAATAAAATCTACACCAAACATAAGTGAGATAAGTCATAAGTGAGTAAATCTTCATAGATAAAACAGTCTGAAGCTTTGAGTTGTGAAATATTAGCACACCTCATTTCTAAGTGGCATTAGTTGGTTGGTACTAAACAAAATCCAGAATTTTTGGGGAGCCAAAGTGCATTTACAAGGGCAAAGTTGAGAAGTTCAAGATCGGAGGATAAGGAGTACTTAAAAAAACACTGAGTGAAAAGAACTATTTATTTTTTCCTTTATAAAAGTATTTTATTGTGGCTATTGTATATTTTTTCCTTGACTTTACATTCAGACAGTTCATTTGCTATTTGATCCAAAAATACACCCTTAATCTGGCCTTCAGTCATGAAATTTCTTTTTGTACCTTCATGCAGGCATTTGGTAGAACACCACTTATCAGTGTAAGTCCAAAGAAGACATGGGAGGGTACTATTATAGGCTTTTGTGGGTGTATAGTTACCTCTGTTGTACTGTCAAAAATTTTCAGCTGGCCAATATCTTTATCAAGGTACACTTCCTGTCCTTGAAATCAACGTCAGTGTGTTATTCGGTTTGTCCCACTTGTTTAAGAATTAAGATGTTTGAGTATCATTGTTGTTTTGTTCATTACAAGGTTACTTGTCTTCTGTTAATAATGATACTAGACTTCGTTCTAGTCTAGGGTGAACATTTGTACATTTACCATGCACCTTTATATACTGTGCACAGTCATTGACACATTGTAATTAGTGGTTTTTACGTGGGGTTTTGTCAGTGCAATAGCTCTTGGTGTTCTGAGTTTCTTTGGGTCTATTTTTGGTGATCTCACCGAATCAATGATTAAACGAGACGCGGGGGTGAAAGACTCGGGTTCACTAATACCTGGTCATGGTAATTCCTCTTTACTTAATAATATTTCTGTAATAGATGCTTTATTATTTTTTGATGTAAGAAATTTTACTGTAGGCGGAAGAAATATCAATATATAAATAATCCTGTTATTTTGATCATCTCCGAATCATTAAGAATTACACATCATATAGTTGAAAATTTTGTTTAAGGATGTCATCTTGCCGCCAAAGATGAACACCTCGTATTAGAATCCCAGCTAATTTTTTTTTCTCCATTAGAGTAGTACTTGGAACTTGGAAGGTAAAACATATTTTATTAACTACATCGAATGCAGGTGGAATACTAGACAGAGCGGACAGTTACGTGTTCACGGGTGCTCTAGCATACAACTTCATCAAAACCTTTTTACCACTTTATGGAGTATGACATGAAACAGAGGTAAGTGTTTCTTCTAGTTAGAGTTTAAATTTCATCTGAAATGTAACAATCTTTACCAGGATAATTAAGATATTTTATCAGCAGTAAATTTTTAAAAAATTAGGTGGTATCTGCATGGCATGTTCACTGACAACATTGACGCATTACGGCAACAAATTGAATTTTAATATTCATGGAAACTCCTGGATATTTTTCATGGGAAAGTGATGATCTACATAGGGAAAGATAGAT